GAGAAAAGAGTGTGTATAAGTAAGAAAGAAAAAGAGTGCGTAAAAAAAAAATATGCGATTAAAAGTATAAAGCTTACAATTTATATTTAATGATTAAGCAAGTGATCGATTTTAAAGTAATTAATAATAAGTATAGAGTTATTTAATCGCACGGGTTGTTACGTCAGACCCATACAATAACTATAATGAATGATTTATGGAATTAGACAAAGTTTGGGTATTGAGTAAAACATTAATTTCTAGAGAAGATGACGAAACTGTTAAAATTTTTAAAGATAATCCATTATGGTTGCAATATAGTCAATAACATCTGTCTGTTTGATATAATAATAGGGTATTGTTTGTTAAGACACCCAAAAATATACTAGATTGCTCCGGGAAATTAATCCAGTAACAAATTTCAGATAAAACGTCTCAATTTCTATAATTCAGTTATTTTTATTAGAGTTTATATTTCGATTTATTGAACAGCTCAGTCAAATAAATTAAATCGCAAAACTTTTTATCTAATTAAATTATGTATTTAAATTAACCTTAATTAGAGAAACACCTTTAATTACAACTTCAGCCTAGAATTATTATTATAGCTGTTTTCAAAAAGGTGTGAACGGTAGCAGACCACCATGTCATGGGAAGTACACAATATTTCCCAGATTTCCGGAGTTTCAAGACCCGAAGTTTAATTTTTACTAATCTAAATTTCCAATTCTTCGATTTCCCACATAGATATATGGAATTCGTTGTTCACACATTTTTGAAAACGGCTGTAATAATACGCATATCTTTCTAATTTTTGAATCCCCAAAATTCCTGGTCTGAATACATCGGGAAGATTTTTTAAAATTTAAAGACTTTAAATAAAATTTCTTGATGAATCGATGAATATTTAACTAATTTCAGTGAACTTTTTTTTTACAAACATGTAGAATTAAACCAAAAAAAAATTCAACGAATTTCTTTTACAACTTTAAGCAAGGATTTCCCAACGGCTATCTGATCAATTTGATGAAATTTTTTTATTTTAATTCGACGTGTTATAGTACTAAAATAAAAAAATTTATCGAATTTAATTAAGTACTTTGCAAAATCTGACAATTTCGAGACATGCAATTATTTGCCAATAATAAGCAATATAAAGTGTATTATTAGTACTAAGTTAGCCTTTTTAATAATTTATTACAAGATTATTTCATTATCAGCACTTTTAAATACCTAATAAATTGGTTAAATAATGGTAATTTTTAGCCCTTTAATATTACTAATACATTGATAATATATTGCTAATATTAGCATTTTATTAGCATAATAATTGACGAATGTAGTTATAAAATTAAATTATCATAATAAAATGCTAATAGAGTGCTTAGATTTGCAAAAGTTTGTATCTTAATAGTACATTATCAGCACTGTTAAATTGCTTATTTTTAGCAAGTTCAATTTTGACGGATTTTTGCAAAGTAGTCACTGAGAAATATTCACTTATTTTATAATAAAGCTTTCTCGATAATTATCTAACCAAATTCGATAAATTTTTTTTTTTTAATTCTATAGGGTTATGGAATTAAAATAAAAAAATTTTCATTGAATTAGTTAAAAAGTTATTGAGAAAACTTCGTGTAAAGATTCAGTACATACAAATAAGAAGCTGCGGTAGATTTTTTCATAACTTCAAAAATAAATATTTCTCAGTGACACCTATTCAAATTCAATAAAAATTTTTATTTCAATTCTATGAACATGCAGAATTGAAATAAAGAATTTTCATCAGGTTATTATCGAGAAGTTTCAGTTCAAATCTAAAAAAAATTCAAGCATAAGAAAAAAAAAACCAATGATAAATTGTTTTATTTTAATCCTGCAGGCTTGTAGAATTGAAATAAAAAATTTTTCATCAAATTTGTTCAGATAGCTGTTAAGAAATCTTTGCTTAAAGTTAAAAAAGGAGTTTTCACTATGGTTTTGCTATTTTCTCAAGATTTTCAAACTATTTAAGATTTTATACAAAGTTTATTCATAACTATCTAACCAAATTCGATGATATTTAGGATCACATGTTTGTAAATAAATAAAAAACAGTCCGCTAAAATTAGTTAAATATTCATCGAGAAATATTTACTTTAAGTTTAAAAGGATCTTCCTGGCCCCGATGTATTCCGACCAGTAATTTATTTTTTTACAGGGCAATCTCGAAATTCCTGGTCGAATACATCAGGGTTAGGATCAGCTATACTGGTTAGCAGGAGCTATAATAAAATTATCAGCTGGGAAGTTTTTACTTAATGAACGACTATGATTTCATTAGTAAACCTTGATCAATTCCGGCCCTTCTGACCGATGCATTCTGATCAGGAATTTTTGGGATTGCCCTGTTCTGTCCAGTGTTGGAAATCTTATGTTCTCATGAGAACATACCTTTAGATTTGAGAACATTTGATATTCCGTAAATATTCTCTATGAAAAAATTTGAGAACATAAATAAATATAATAGCATAATGCCAGATGGAAATAAAATTAGGAATCGAACGAAGTTCCGAAATCATCCAAAAATAAATGAGTGAACATAAAAGGCGAGAAGGGTTGGGATAAAATTTGAATAATGACCGATATTTTCCGAAATTAAAAAATAGGGATATAAATAAATTTGATGTTGAGAACATAAATAAATATCCGAGAACATTTAAATTTAATAAATTTGTTCTCTTGAGAACATAAATCTTAAAACAGATTTCCAACACTGGTTCGTTCATTGTCCTTATTCATTTAGAAAAAATCAACAAACTTCTTCGCTTTCTGCCGACAAAAAAAAAAAAAAACAATGAAAAATAGTAAATATTTAAAAATAAATGTATAAATTTATTTCAGTCTAAAAGCCCGTATCAGTGATTGCACCTACACTTGTAACCGTAATGCATCAACTTTTTTTTTTTTGTAATCTCTGCATGCTCAGACGTAATCATGCATATATTGTAGATGTAATTGAACAAAAACCTGTTTCCGAAGCATCATCACCTATTACTTTATAGGCTATTCGGCACTTGCATTTTTTTATACCCCAGCTTCATGTGAATGCCACCCTATGGAGTATGCTGTCTTACCGTTACGTCTTAAACAATTAAAGTAAAAAAGCGTATGCATTTGAGGTATAATAACAATATTTAAGTATCAGTGTCTAGAGGCAAGGGAATTTCTTGACTTATAAACAAAAACCATGTTAAAGGATACATGTAAGTTATTGCACATTAATGATTGCCATACCGAACTGATTATTTTTTTATAATGCTTTTTAATCAAGGTTTGTATGTAAGTGAATGAAAAATTTCACTATTGTAATAGCGATTCTATGCTAATGTATATAAGTTATTAAGCTTGTAGCTATTTTGTTTTATATTCTGGCATTTAATCAGTCGATACGGTAATTTAAAATATTTATATAATTTATGCAAAATACTTATCATACTTTAAATATTAGTAATTGAATACTCGAGAGAATTGGAGACAAGTTTAAAAAATTGCAATATAAAATATTTCAACTTTTCACAACATAGCGATCTCAAAAAAATTGGGGAAGGGGGATATTCTATCGTGTATTCAGCCACCTTCGAAGGGAAAAAATATGCAGTAAAAAAAAGTCTTGATAATGACGATAAAATATACAAAAAATTTAAAAGAGAGGTAATGCGTATTATTCATATGTGTCATTTGATTTCTTAATATTTTTATTATTTATTTATTTATCAATACATGCATGTATTGTAGCTTAAACTTCTTTGTACGCTTGATCACCCCAACATCATAAAATTCCATGGCATTTCGATGGGTATAAAAAATTTAATTATAACGATTACAATAAGAATCGTCAGTCAGTTATAAAGAGAATTGACCGCATGCTGTATACTTGAATGTTCCTAACTAAAATTTTAAACTTTAGATGAACAAACAGACAATTTTATGTTAATATTGCAGTATGCCAATGGTGGTAATTTACGCGAACATTTGAAAGGAAAACAAAAGGAAGGCACCTACAAAATAGTATGGACTGAACTCATCAGGATTGCAATAGAAATTTCGCTTGGATTAAACTATTTACATGACAAAAATATAATTCATAGAGATCTGGTCGGTTTACTGTATTCCTTTCTATGCACAATTTTTTAATTTCTGCATAAATTTAAACTTTTTTTTACATAAAATATCTAGCATTCTAAGAATATTTTAATACATGATGGCAAGGCCTTGATTACAGATTTTGGTTTATCAAAACAATTAGATTGTTCTATTTCTTCAAGCTCTGGTGTAAAAGGCATAATAGCATATATTGAACCACAATGTTTGCTCCAGTATGAGAAAAAAATTAAATGCGATAAAAAATCTGACATCTATAGTTTAGGTGTATTACTTTGGGAACTTACAAGTGGGATTCCTCCATTTAATGGATTTAATATGATTCATATTATTCGTAAAATTTCGAATAATGAAAAAGAAAAAGCTATTGTCGGTACACCTCCAGATTACGCCGACCTCTTCAAAAAATGCTGGTCTTCTGAACCCGATCAACGTCCAACATTAACCGAAATTTTGTCTGAACTCGGAAGATTATCAAAAGAAAAAACTGTAGAATTCATTACAAATGTTATTGATAGTGATAAAAAAATTCCACAGTTAATAGATTCTTCAAATTTCAAAACCTTGACATATTTAGAAAGAATAGATTCAAGTTTCAAAACTTCTACATATTTAGAGAGCTTAGATTCTTCAAATAATAATGGTCGACAAAGCACGCATCCCGAAAATATTCCTATACAAACTGAAAATGGAAATAGTTTAACATGCCCAAGAACCTTGGTTTTTTCGATTGATAATGGCCGACAAAGAAGGCCTATCGAAAATATGCGCACATTAACTGAAGATGCAAATACTTCTGGAAAAAAACGACAGATAAATAATTTCATTACTTATATCCAAAATCCATTAGTTTTTCAAAGGATTTTTCAATTTAATATAAATTTGCAAATTCAAAATTTACAACGCACAAAAACGAGAAAATACATTACTGGTTACGCTTTATTCAAAAAAAGAATTGTTGAAGAAGGTCTTTTAATAAATGTAACTAATGTCATGGTTATTGGACCTTCCACAAATATAATATGGAGGAGTTTGACTCGCGCTGAAAAAGAAATATTCCTTAATTATGCACTACAAATTCGTTCTAATGCCACAATTAGAAATAAATTCAAACGGTCATCTTTGGCCAGGTTCATTTGTAAATTTTCTACAAAATTTTTCGTCTACTTACAGATACTTTACGGAAAATAGGTTGATAATTCTGAACATAAAATGCGTAATGTTTTATTATATAGAGTAAACTAGAATACGTAGTTAAGTTTCTTATATTTAAATTTCTAATAGCTAAGTCTAGAAATTATTTTCATCCGAAGTTTCTTAGTTGCAAATTTTGCATTCGTAATCATTTATAAATATGGTTTAATAAATAGAGTACAGGAAATGATGAATTAGATAAATTAGATAAATTAATTCGAGAATGTCAGCTTAGTGCTTACCACCATTAGAATTCCTGCTGCAAAGTCGCAACTTTGCGTCTCTTTAAAATTATTTGCAACCTTTGCGACCCCTCTTTTTGCTGCAAAAGATCACAGAAGCACAAGTTCGAAAGTCTATGCAATTATCGTTATTAATAAAATGAACATCAAAATTAATGTTACCTTTGCAAGATTACGTATGATTTAACATTTATTTATATCATAAGATATATAGTAAGCAGGGCACAAAATTTCGGCATGCCGTAACCTGCTTTTTTTTTTTGGTAAATGAATCCAGAAACTCCCGTGAAAATAATACAGCAAATTTATATTATGAAATTTCGGCCGCTTTAAAACTACTCCGGAAATGATCATATTTAAACGGAACTTCCGGCATTTACAATAGAATCTTGTGCTCTAATAGTAAGACACATATATATTAGATTTATAATTTACGTATATTACAACATTACAATTGGGCTGGACGGGTAGTTTCAAGAACGGTGAACCCAGTGATATCTTCGTGGCCATCACATCACATGATTAAACACTCGGTCTAAGCTAGGGTTAGGTGATAGTATAGTTTAGGCCAATTTGTTAGTGCTAGTAAACAAATGACGTCATTTCATGATTTCACATGATGTGATGATCACTGGGTTCATTTTCTTGAAGTGTCCCGGACTGGACATTGGACATGGATATTGGACCGCCCTTGTCCAGTCCAGTCCAATCCATTGGACCAAAAAGTATGAGATATTGTAAATCAACAATTATCATGTACAAATAGCCAATCAAAATCTTCTCAGTATCACACCCGAAAAATTGTGATCACCGATAAAATTCATAAAAAGTTCGTTAAGGTTATGGTTAGCATTTATATTAAAGCTAGAAATTAGGAAATATATAATAAAATCGCCCAAGGAAACCTTTTTGTTAAACTACATTTTTATTAAATAAATTATTATTTTATATTTTTTAAGATTATTGGACTGGACATCAGGGACACGATTTTATTTATAGGATTTAAAATTCCTATAAATAAAATCGCACTTTTTCCGTGTCCCTGTTGGCATATGGTGCGGTCAGTTAAAAGGGGCTTATGATATTTTTTGCAAAAATAAGTTAACTACACTATTAAATAAAGCAGGTATTCTTCTATGTAATTTACACTAGCTCCGCGCGTGTCACTACGTGCCACATTTTAATTTAATTAATACGAAGTATACTTATACTAATATAAAAAGTTATCGTGCAAACTCTTATGA